TCAGAGGCAGGATGTGATCTAGGCAGCCTGGCTCTGGAGTCCAGGCTCCTGGCCAGTGTCCTGTGCTAGCACTTGGCCGACAGCTCTGAGGCAAAGTTAGGCACTTCCTTTTCTCTGCTCCAGCCACACCACAGTCTCACCTCTACTTTGGCACTTAGCATATTATACTGCAACCAAGTCTTACTCATTTGTATCCTTTACTCTCAGACCTCTCTTTGAGGACAGGAACTGTCCACCTCTCTATCCCTAGAACATGTAATGGCACCTGGCACCAGCAGGTATTTAATAAATGAATAAATGAATTAAACAAAGGAATAAATTAAAGTGTGCTGTTTCAACAGCACCCCAATCCTAGCATAGCATTAGCCTTCAATATAGGCAGACTCAGTGATGAGACCTGCATTTCAAATCTTCATGACACAAAAAATGGGTAGTTTGGGAGCTATGCTGATAAATTTCTATCTGGTCATTCTAGGAAACTCAAGAGACATCCACCATAAGAATACATTTAGGGGTGGTCTTCAAATCACAAACACTCCAGACTGAAGGATTCTAGAATTACCTGACAGTGCATCATAGAACTCGTCCTCACTAAGGATGCTGAGAGGTGGCGATCCTTTAACCAGGGACTGCTCTAATTCATGATGCTCAGTGGCCAGAGCCTCCAGTGCTTCTGACAAAATTTTGTTTTTCTCTTGCTCTTGTTCCAATTTAAAATTCCTCACCTAGAAGAAAACAGATATACAAAAAAGGCTTTAGAGTGACGAGACTCAGACCTACTCATTAGGATGTAAAAGTTATTTGCTTTTGATCCATTTCAATTGCAACATCAGAAATAAAAACAGTCACGTTATATACACTTGGATGAATGAGCAAAATTACTAAGCTAATTTTGTTCTTCCCATGGGGGCCTTTTCTCACAACAGCTCTAGCTAATGAAAATAGATTAAGAACTAGCAAACAAATTCAGTTCAAATGATCAGGATCCTAGTATGAGAAGATTAGCCATTTCAGAAAACATAAAAATTAAAAAAAAAAAAAGCAGTCTCTCTTTGTCTCAACACTAATCATGAGGTTAAGAAACCAGTTTCAGCAAGTTTTTAAACAAAATAAAGAAAACTATTCTAAATATTCAAATGTGTACCACATGAAAGCATGAGGTATAACTGTTAATTGTCCAGTTTACATTCAGAATAGTTTAAGTTAAATGGAGGGCAACCAGCTACTAAGCAATAACTAAACATTTTTATTGTTTCAATTCCATATTTTACCTTGAATTTGGCTCACTACAAGAAATAAGGCCTAGATTACAGAAACAGTAAAGCCTGGTTTGGTTCTTCACCCTCTGAAGATACAATCTATTCCTCCTATCTGATCCAAGAGAATTTGAATCTTCGCAGCTGACCAAAACCCTCTAAAATTTAAATAATCTAGTCCTCATATAAAATAACAGATACTGGGTTTGGTGTGGACCATTTTAGGTATTTTTATATCAGAACTCTGGAAATCACAACTATTCCATCATCTCCTTCAATTTCTAGAAATAATGTGGCACTGTAGACAGGAGACAGAAAAGGTGGTATCTAACATAACCAACCCTGTAGTCTCAGGAAAGTCTCTTGTTCCTTAGTTTCCTCACCTATAAGAGGATTCTACTATCTCATATACTTTAAACATTTTATGAGAAGGGACCACTCCCTTCCGAAGAACATCATGCTTGGTTAAGTAGAGGACCATGAAAAGAGAGGAAGACCTTCAAAGAGATGGATTGATACAGTGGCTACAACAATAGGCTCAAGCATAACAGCGATTGTGAGGATGGGTCAGGACCTGGCAGTGTTTCGTTCTGTTGTACACAGGGTTGCTATGAGTTGGAACCGACTCAACAGCACCTAACAACAGTAACAACACAATCATCCAATAATTTCATCTCATCAGTGGTCTTCAACTCAGCAGTCGTCAAAAAAATTCATTTTTCCTTTAGCGAACCTATTTTTCAAATATAACCCTATAAATCCCAACATATAAAATAGATGCTTTGGAAAGCAGACATGTGCTGGGAGATGCTGGGGATGGAGCACAAGCCCCACCCCTGTGGCTCACCCCTCTCCTCAGGTCCAATTCCAGGAGCTGTACCAACAATTTGAAAGGCACAGGATGGGATGACCTCTTAAATCTCTTCCAGGTCAACATTTCCACCTCTGGGTCTGGGAAGCTGTAGAACTCTCTCATAACTGCTCCTCTGAATTCCTCACCCTGCTGAATCTAGACCCTTTCACTTCCTGACATTCCCTCTTGTTCTGACTCGAAGCCCTTTATGGCCTCAAGTCCCTGATGCTGCACATTACCTACAACATTCCAGGAGTCAGTCCCGGGTATAACTTGAAATATAGTTTTACTGAAGTGCTAAGTTCATAGCAGAAACAAGGTTAAACCTTTATTATTTTGAGAATAGTTCCAGTCCTCAGGCACCTGTGTTTATCATGACAGCAACCAGATTATTATTTTTAGAGGTATGGTAATGAAATAAAAATAGCAATAAATGGTAAGCAATAATGAGCAGAGAGATCATGCAAAACTGATCAAAAAAAAAAAAAAAAGAAAATTTACGTAATTACAAATTTTAGGAAACTGAAAAATATTTGGTAATATTCCTATAAGAAGCCCTGGTGGCACAAGGGTTAAGTGCGTGACTGCTAACCGAAAGGTTGGCAGTTCTAAACCATCCTGCTATCTGCTCCCACAAAAATTACAGCCTAGAAAACCCTGTGACATTTAAGATACAACACTGGTCTCTTCCCGTCTGGAGCAAAGAAGAGTGAATGACAAAATCAAAGACTTAAGGAAGAAATTAGTCCACAGGACTAACAGCCCACATGAACCACAGCCTATTCTAGCCTGAGACCAGAAGAACTAGATGGTGCCTGGCTACCACTACCACCATTCTGACCAGGAACACAAGAGAAGCTCCCGGTTAGAATGGGAGAAAAATGTAGAACAAAATTCAAATTCATAAAAAAGATCAAGACTTACTGGACTGATAGAAACTAGAGGAACCCCTGAGACTATCACCCTAAGATGCCCTTTTAACCTGGAACAAAGCCACTCCTGAAGGTCACCTTTCAGCCAAATAACAGATTGGCCTATAAAACAAACAATAACACCCGTGAGGAATGTGCTCCTTTAAACAATCAACTATACAAGACTGAAAGGTCAACATTTACACAAAAGCAAAGATGAGAGGCAAGGAGGGGCAGGGAACCAGATGGATGGAAATGGGTCAGGCGGGGTGGAAATGGTGTAAGTGCTGACACATTATGAGGACTGTAATCAATGTCACAGAACAATGCGTATGAATTGTTGAATGGGAATCTATTTTGCTGTGTAAACTTTCACCTAAAACACAACAGCAAAAACAAAACAAAACAAACAACAACAAAAAAAATTAAGGTACATTAAAAAACAAAACTCTATGGGGCAGTTCTACTCTGTCACATGGGGTCGCCATGAGTCAAAACTGCCTGACAGCACCCAATAACAACAATATTCCAATAATCTAAACTGTATTTCCAGAGGAGGAAATACTCTTATTGAGGCTGGAATATAAATTAAAAAAATAAAAAGCTGTTCTTCCTCCATCTTCTGAATTCATTTATCGATAAACAAAGACAACAAAACCATACACAATGTCCAAAATGATCCTTTCTGTGAATATAAACGATCTAAAAGCACTGTTAAAGTATTTGTAGATTCCAAAAACAACACTGCAAGATCCAACTCTTTCACTCCCACCCGCTCTCTCCCTTTAGCTTTATATCCCTTTAGCTTTTCAAATATCAAAATGTAAATGTGCTGTTAATTCTTAAAAATAAGAATCAACTAAATTATCTTCTCTATTTAGCAAATACATAAATCTTCATACCTAAATTCATCTAGCTGATTTCAGCAAAGTGGCAAAATAAATGATTGGGGCCCCAAGATATCCAGTTCCCTCAAAAAAAAATCTTATTCAAAATCCAATTTATCCTTTATCCATCTAAAATAAGCATCACTTCAATTCTGCGACAGCTACATCTGTTCTCACTTCTTTTAAGAGAAAAAAGAGTAAAGAGTAGGAAGCAGAAGAGAAAGCGAGAGAAAAAAGGCTCTATGTCCTGTATCTTGCCTTATTTTTATCTCTGAACTGATCTGGGTATATTTTCATTAGTTTCTAGTATAACAGGATTTTCTGCACGGAAGATATCTTTCTATAAAACTGCCTATAAAACAGCAATGTCTCCCATCACATAAAACACTGTGATTGAGTAGCTATATGTCACAGCAACTGCACCAGCAAAGAGCTCTCCAGATGCTTCTGAAGTATCTAAGAACATACTTAACTACCATAGTGGTTTTTAGTCAGTTAGAAGGATCACTGGAACAATGTAATTCCTCATCCTCTACAATCTCACTATTTTGGAAACACCTATGGAAAATCCTGCATTTAAAAATTAGTGTAGAACAACTGATAAAGGAATACGCAGAGTACAAGTTCATAACATCTTCAGCTTACTTTTAAACTATGTTTCCAAACTCCCACTTGCTAGCTGAGAAGCTATATTCTTGTAACAGAAACAGTATAGATACATGGATACAATAACAAAGAATGTATTAACTTGAGACTGGAATACTAGATCTGAATTAAAAACTTATCTAGCTTTGTCTCTCAGATAAGGAACAGCTCTGACTTATTTCCATAGTTATGGATCCAACAGTATTCTCACTTCAAAACTTTTTAAGATATGTACTTTAGGTGACTCCTTGCTCTTACCACATGGCTGTCAAAACCTCTGGGTCTGACTATTTACAGCTGAGAACTCTCCTGCCCACTAGTCAGACTGCCACATTGTTTCCGTGGAGGAGAATGGACCTCTCATGTGAACGCAAAGGGCCATTATTCCCAAATCCACAGCCAAGCTGAATCACACTTTTACTTCCAGGGTCTAGGAAAATTAAGCTTTCATTCCATCTCTAAGGCATGATCAAGTATGGAAATATACTCTTGGACAGTATATACCTGCAAAATAAATTTTAAGGATTTTCATCTGACTCTAATGACCTTTCAGCTACCCCATCCTATCAGAACTTTTTCAAGTGTAATAAATTACCTTATGTTCCTAAAGCTTTTCATCACTCCTTTCCACTACTAAACAAAGACACTTATTTAAAGATAACTATGCCTCAGTGACCAAGGCAGATTTGTGTGACTAGAAGGAAACAGACATGATGGAGGGATGCACATGGAGGCTGTGGGTAGGGAGGGGCATTGTATAGAGTTTGTAGACGATTATAAGAACGCTGGCTTTGACTCTGAGGAAGATGAGAATCACTGGAGAGGGTTGAGTAGAGGAAGTAGATTATTTGATTTATATTTTAATATGATCCCTCTGGCTGATATGCTGAATAACAGGCCTAAGAGGTCAAGGGTAGAATCAGGAAAGACCCCGTAGAAGGCTACTATAAAATCCAGATAAAAGACTAGGGTAATAGGAATGGAGATGTTTAGAAGTGGTCAGATTCTGGATATATTCTGAAGGATTTTGCTGACACATTGACTATGGGATGTAAGAGAAATGAGGAATCGATCACGAGGTGGGGAGGGAGGCTAAGGGCTATTTACTAACTAGATAGTAGACAAGTATTATCTTAGGTGAAGGGAAGGGTAGCACACACTACAGGGGAAGTT